TAAAAACTATTTCCCCCCCGCTCCCCCCCCCCCCCCCGCAATCTTTTTCGGGAGTTTCAAAAACTCTTCATAATGTTTTCAAAGATAAGAATATGTCAATGAACTCCAAGTGGGATCACAAGGACTCTTTAACCCATAGAGATATAAAGTCAAAAAGATTATTCTTTATGGTCTAAGAATGGGAATTAAATCTTCTTCCTTCCTTTCTCACATTTGAGCCATGGTTTCTCCTCCTTTCTTCCATCTTCCCTCCCAGCTGTCAAACAATTTGTTTCCAGTCAGAATCTGTGAAAGCCAGAAGATCCCTATCTGCACCCAAAGTGGATAGAAAACCTTCTGCTTTCTCACCTGCAATCACTGGCCATCCTTGAGCCAGTTCTACCTTCACAAATTATGACTAAGTCTATTTGCTGTCTCTGTGCTTGTTTTAATTCTTGATCTCCGACACATTTTTCTTGTGTTGCTTCTCTTGGTGTAGCAGGACTGGGTAGGAAAAACTAATTTCCCATGTAGTTAAGGGTGATCCCAGCTGCAAAAAGGCAGGTTGAGATAGATCTGGCTCTTCTTACAAGCCTAGATTTAATGTGCTTTGGACACAAACTGTTCCTTTTTCCTGGTTGGGCGACTTCTCTTAGGTTTCCCAAACACTGAGGAATTGGCTGGGTATTTATGCAGTCAGGATCCATCATTATTTTAGGATTAAACTAGAAATCACTAGTAGAAAATCAGGCATGTTCTACAACCTTAACTTCATGGTTTAAAACAGAAACAGACCAGCCACTTCATTTGAGTTTTATGTCACTGAGGGAAACAAATCTTTTGAGCCCTTTGTAAGACTGGCTGTTTAATTAAAGCTGCCTGTTCTTTTTCAGATCTATATGAGAAACTGGTTTGAATTTTGTTTTTTTGAAAAAAATCTTCCAAGCAAATTGAGCCTGCTTCTGTAACAAAGAATGAGGCATAATTGAACCTTAAACTCAGTGCTAAAGATTGTCTCTGGTTTCCATATTTTTGTTTGATAGCGTTTTAGTGAGAACTATTCAGAATCTAAATTGTATCAGTGCTATTCTGTCAAGATTCATTTTAAGGCTATCAGTCCTTCCCCAACACTTCCATATGATGAGGATGTTCATGAAATGAAATATCACACTTTGCCCATGTCCAAAAATAGGTGTTCTCAACAAAGGATGCCATGCAGGTACGTGCTTACAAAGAATGACGGCATCCTTGTTCAGGGAGAGCTCTGAGACAGACTGAAATATATTTTATGTTCACTAATATCAAAGAGAGGCAGATACCTAATTACATTTTCTCCTCATGCACACTTTCTTTGGTTTCTGGATTTTCCCTTTTACCTTCACAAAGCATTGGATGTTGGTGGAAGGCAGAGGTGAGAGTTTGGCTGGCATGTGCTAGAACATAGAGGTGAGAGTTTAGCTGGCTGCTGTCCTGTCAGCACTTAAAACTCTTGAGTGTCTGGCTGGAAGGTCTGGTTACTGTGCTCAGAGTCAAACCAGTTGACATATTTGAGGTCAGGAAGAAATCTCCCCTCAGTTCAGATCGATAAAGGACTATTGGATTTTTTTTTCTTTCCCCTCCTTTTCTGAGAATAACCTGAGCATATTTTAGCTCACATTCCCTACCATTGGAGTGGCAGGGCATTAGCAGTACCCTTGTCTCCCCCGTCTTTTACCAGACAAACGTTATTGAATTTTTTTTTATATGGTGCTGTATGGCTTTAGGGTGCGAGAACTCACAGAGGATGATTTTGTGGACTCTGGATGAATGGTTACCTGTGAATGCAAAGGACTGGATTTGATGGCCCGGGAGGCCCTTTCCATTTCAGTATTCCTATACACATTGTTCAGTCTTTGGTCTGTGTGTTCTTCAGATATTTGAATGCCATTGATCACCCATGTTGATTGTGCTTGTGTGCTAACCTACTGCTAATATAAGCGTTATCAAGCTTAATCTAGGATAACAGTAGCTAGCTAAATATTTTATCTAGGTTTGTTTCCAGGCTCCGTTTTTCCATACTAGTCACTAGAGCAGCTCATCTTCAGATGTTGCAGGCCCATCCCCCGGTGCCACTAACTGCAGGTGGCTGATGATAGATATCTCAGGATTTGATAGTGAAAATATTGTAATTAGATTAAGAGGGCCAAACAGCACCCCCACTCCAAAAGAAAAAAAAAAGAAAAAGAAACAGAAACCACATTAAAGGAAGTGGTAAAAGGGCAGACCAGATAATTGTCAGGGAAACTAAATGTACCAGATGAAAGTGATTAGTCCCTATTCATGTTAAGATTATGAATGAAAAGAGAATTGCAAATGGGAGTTGCATTATACTGGAGAAGCAGTTGGCAACAGACCCTTCAAATTAATATTGGGTAAAAGTTTTATCCAAAGACTCAAATGAGAAAGGTCGGTCCTTGGCTTTATTTTGGCTGAGTTTAAGGCTAAAAATCAGCTGCTAAAGACATTATCTCAAATAGGCATCAAGGAACTGTTCAATGACCTATCTGTTATACCTTGTGTGACTGGATGGGAAATGATCTGTATGCCTTCAGTGTAGAGCATCCCCAATATGATGGATGATATGGATCAACTGATGACCTTTGAACAGCTTCCAAGCACACTTTAGTTTGGAATCAATAAGGTTTATATTTCCCTTAGAGTAAAAATGCTGTTTCATTCACAGAAAGCTCAATTCAACTGGGATCCAGAGACAGTAGGACTTATACATGGCTCATTTTTCTGGGGTTACATTGTAACACAAATTCCAGGAGGATTCATCTCAAACAAATTAGCTGCTAACCGGTAAGATAAAATAATGAGACAAACCAAACAATTAGTGTGATTGCTTTTTTGCTGTTTAATGGCTGCTGGGATGAGGTCAAACTGCATTGCTTTTGCTGATCTAAGTACCTAAGTCCCATTTAGACATCTCCAAGAGCAGTCTGAATCATGTTCTAAGTGTCTAGCGCTGGTTAGTCCCTAATATTAATTAATAATGCTTATTTATTATGCTAACTTTGCATTGGAGCCTGTATTCCCTGTTACTAAATTGTGGGACATATTTTCAGAAAAACAACTACAAATATAAAAATGTTCCCCAGATTTTAAATGATGTTTTAAACACTGCATTTCATGGTGTTTTGTTTTACTTCTTTGTGGAATTAATTCTTTGCTCCTCTTTCATTTATTTTCTTGTAAACAACCACAATCAAATGTAATTGTGATCTAACTGTATTACATCAGTGAATTTGTTTTCTAGGTATATACTGTGCTGTTGATGCACAAAGCGTAATGTTTCTGTGGCCATATGACTTTCATATTCCTGGTACATGCTCATTTAAAAGCACCATGGGATCTGAGCTCCAATCCCAACAACTGCAATTCCAACTTGCCTGCATGGCAGGAGGTATGATTTTAGGATCAGGAATCAGATCCCAATCATGTTCTTTTCTACTTGCCAGTGCAGTGGCGAGCCCAGGATAATAATCCTGGGCTCTCCCTGCACAGGCAAGTTGAAAGCTGGGTGGCTGCAGCCCCATGTCCTAGTGTGACCCTGTACAGCCCCAGGGCCAGGGATGACAATAAGCTAATTGTTGGCCCCAGGCCTGGGGCAGCCCCAGACATGCCATATGTACAATTTATGGTGCCATGCAAATTACCTGGAAACATACTCAACGTTATGTGTAAAACATTTGTATGGCTGGTTTGCAATTTTATGGTACCTTCTAAAGGGTGTACACATTGCACCCTTGCCATTTTTGCCACCATTAACACATTAATTGCAGTATAAACGTAACTTATAGAGGGGCCCTCAGAGTCATCAAGCAGAATGACTGTCAGAAGTGGGTTTAGAATTCTGGGTCTTTTGACAAAATGTAGGTTCTTGAAAACCCAGTTAAAAGGGTATTTCCATTTACAGTAGTAACATTAGCGTTTGTGTGTAAAGATGTGCCAACCTCCATTGTTTAATTTTATCACTTTTTATGCAACCATATTTTACAATGCCAGTCTATGTGAACTCATCTTCTACCCTCATTTTCTCTTTTAGAAGTCAAAAGATGAGCTTGTTAAGACTGATCTGGGACTCAAGACATACGGAGTTCTATTTTTTGGCTCCATTACCTACTCCCTTTCTCACTTGGACAAGTCACTTGATCTCCCTGTGCTCCTTCTGTAAAGTGCAGATGATATTTCCTAACTCCTGTCCTTTGCTGATCTTATCTGTTTAGATGGCAAGCTCATTGAAGAAGCAGCTGTCTCGCAGCATGAGACACCTAAAACCCTTTATATGTTGGGGCCGTTGGTTGTAGCCATGTTGGTCTAAGGACATAGGCAGATAAGGTTATTTGTGTAAATGTGATATCTTTTATTAGATCAACTGAATAGTTGGAAAAATTCAGTTGGTTTACCAAAAGATATACATTTACCCAGATAACCTTGTCTGTCTAAGACCTTTTAGGCACACAAACACAAATAATTTATAATAATAATTTCAGGTTCAAATGCACATCAGAACAGCTGAAAACCTTGAATGTACCCTGGATTTGCATCAAAACTATTCAAAACCACACATTTTCCTTTATTAACTTGCAAAATACTGCATTAACCCACATTTACAAAGATCACTATTCGCTCAAAATGTTCACAAACTATTTAATGACATTGTACCTTTAATTTACCACTCTCTATTAAATGTGTCGGACTACACTAGGGTACCTTTTTAATTTGTTCATTGTCATATGGTAATAAAGAGACCCAGAATGTGAAGCATATCCTGATATCAGCTTTCAGGAATAGGACACCATTGGTCAATGGAGTCCATCATTTAAGAACTCTGTTCTGATTTCACAGCGACAATTTGCCAGGGATCAGAATGATGATGAGAAAAGAATACATGAATGAATTAAAAGAATATTTCTATTTTTAGCCCTTGCAGAGACCAATTACTTTTACATAACACATAGTGAACTGCTGGCAGAATGCTTGCTGGTTTTTGATACAGTACTTGCTCTCATAAATAGCAGCAAAACACTGGTTAATTCCATTTCAGTCGCTCTTAAATGGTATATTTGGCATACAAAGAAACCGAATGAAATAAAGTAATATGGAATGCAAATTGTGTTATTAATCGTGCATGTAACAAAGATCTGGCTTTTTGCCATCTGTGGATAATTACTTTTCTTGTTTTTATCTGTATTTTTACATAATACACTGTGCTGCCTACATTATTGCCCTCAAATGCATAATATATCCCTTGATGGCAAGAAGTGATGATAATGGAAAATTAAATTAAATGGCAAAATATTTCTCCTGAATGAGATTTGTTCCTAAAGATCCTTGCATGATAATTCATCTCCTTTCTCTTTTGGCACCCCAATTATTAGAACACTTTCCCTTTTAACTCTGCTCAATTCACTGTTATTTCATCCTTTCCATCTAACCCCAGCTCATGTGTCTGCTGTGTTGATCCACTGAGCCCTTCTATAACACATTTTACAAGCAGTCTGGATTGGGGGCTCTCTTTTTTTTTATGTTTGTATAGAATTGAGCACAATGCAGACCTTAGTCCTTGAATGGGGTTGCAGACACTACTGTAATAGTAATAATATATTATTTCAGGCTTCAAAAAGCCAAGATTCATATTTTTACCTGGGAACGAAATTACCAGAGGGAGACTGTAATGTAAAAGTATCAAAATCCTTATAAAAAGAAAGTAAAGTATGTAATAATAGCCCAAGAAACGAAAACTGATTTCAACATTTTAAAAGTTTGTTAAGAGGTGGTCAATAACTAGCTATGTATATCAAGACCTGTTGAAGTATCTGGCAAAAAAACTTAAGGGAGGACAAGTTGCTCAAAATGACAATTTCAGGTGAAAATCTATAGGGGAAATAAAAGCCCCAAACCTTTCAATTAGAGAAAAACTCTCATGCATCTTTTTCAAACAAGAAGTCAATCACATACACAAGACAGTTTAGAATGGTTAGGCTTCTATCAAATTTGCAGTAGGGGCAAGATGGCTGTTAGATAACGAGTAGCAAAATTTCTGGCATCGTCATAAATAGAATTTTGGATTTTTCAAAGCAGGGCTCCTTTAGTCTTTGGCTGAGTCTCTGCTACCCTGTGTCTTGGATCAAGTTAGCGTAACCTGAAGGCTGCTCTAACATTTGCAGTTGGTGAAAGTCTCCAGGAGATCTCTTGACCCAAGCCATAGATGTATGTGCTGTATAGCACTGGGACCAGGTACTCCAATTCTATGCCTGCTGACAACTTGGGTTTTCAAATGGGCAACTATGTACTGTAACTTTAAATGTACCATGGCACTGGAGACTGGCAAGCATTCAGTTTGTTCCAAGTAGGAAATGATGGTCTCATGGTTCAGTTCAAGATAAGTTATTTTCCATGTTTATTGTTACTGTCATTTATTATGTATATGGTGCAGTAAATGTGCACTGCTCTTTACTTAAACTCAAAAAGAAAAGATCAGGCACCTGCTTGAAAGAACTCACAGTCAGACTTAGATGAATGCTGGGTTAGATTATCCTTGAACTCTTCTTCAAAAAATGCCTTGACATCCATCTTGCTGGGGTCATTTGATCCCAGCAGCCTTTCCTGCCCATGTGCAGGGATTCTGGACCCAATGATCTGTAAGGTCCCTTCCAGCCCCTAACAACTATGAAACTATTAATGTTGACTACTCAAGAATATTGCTCATATTTGTAGACACTCTCCCTTGTAGCAGTTGCTTATATAGAAAAATCACATTAGGAAATGAATACAATTTAAACTGTTTTCTAAAGCAAATTAGCATCTAGAAATCAAAACATCCAACGTTATCCTTGCTTTAGGAAAGCACTTAAACAAATACTTAACATTAAACAGATGCTAAAATCTTGATTTCAATAAGATGTAAGCATATACTTAAGCTCTCTCAGATAAGGAAGATGTCTTAAATCATGCCTTATGTAACCATCTCCTTCATGACAAACCTCTAGCATTTGGTCCGAGGACTCCAGTTTCAGAAATGCTGATGTAGAAGTAAAAACAATAGTTTTCTTTTGTACCATTTTAAAAGTGTATGTGAAGCTCCTGTTCTATGCAGAGAAGAATAGTTATATGCAATAGGGGATCTAACTTAAGGTTGGAATCAACTTGACTGTTGTAACTGTTGCCTTCATAGTCAGGACTGAATTTGGCTCAGTGTAAAGACTCCTTTTCAAATATAGCATGACATTATTCCAGTGTCCCCTTGGTCTGGTGAACAATAATTATATCCGCATTCATGTTGCTTTTTCCCACAGGGTATTTGGAGCAGCTATTTTCCTAACATCTACACTGAATATGTTCATCCCTTCTGCAGCAAGAGTTCATTATGGCTGTGTTATGTTTGTAAGAATTTTACAAGGTCTTGTCGAGGTAGGTGCACCTAGCATTTGGGGCTGATAATAGTTATTAGTTTTTGAAAGTTCATTTTTGTAATGTCAGCAAATGATTAATTCAGGTTTTCTAAATAATTCACATTTAATTATTTTTCATGCAGAAGTAGTATATAATGAGTATTTTTATTAGGAAATGGCTGTCGTTGGAACATTTTTTATGCTTTTAGGATGAGGATTTTTTAATTATGCTGATTTACATGTTTCAGTTAGTCTTAGGTATAAAATAAAAGCACTGGGTTTATGTAAATGAAAGTACATCTATTGCATTTAATTATATCATTCACTGTACACACTGAATAGCAAATAACATTTTTGCCAGGGCACCTTATCACTTCTGTGCTGCTTCAAAAAACTTCACAGTCATTGTATACAACCAGCAAAGCTCCTCACCATTAACTCTTTCCACACCTCCTCCCAATGTTGACAAGAAATTAAACTGTTTGAAATTAACAGCCTCTGTCTATAGTAAAAGTGAAATAAAATAACATCCTGTGATGTGTATGTGAAATATCTGCTAGGGTGTGACCTATCCAGCATGCCATGGGATGTGGAGTAAATGGGCCCCTCCACTGGAGAGAAGCAGGCTTGCAACCACATCATTTTGTGGTAAGTCTACTGATATCTAGATTTTCTAACTCTGTGTTTGCACTTCATTTGTATTTCATGTTAGAAATCTTTTATTCTATTTATTACCATTTTATAAAAAATATGTGACTTGAAAGTGAAATGTAAACCTCCTAAATATTGACATGAAATTGAGTTGGGAGGTGAGGAAACTCTGAAAGTGAGTGCGTCATAGAATCATAGAAAAATGGAGCTGGAAGGAACCTCAGGAGGTTATCTAGTCCAACCCCCTCTTCATCTCTATATAAAGCATCAGATACATGTCCCAATGGTGTCCACAACCTAAGTAATCTGTTTCACTGCTTAGCCATCCTTATACTTAGAAAGTTTTTTTTTCTAATATCCAACCTAAATGTCCCTTGTTACAATTTAAGATGGTTATTTTTTGTACTGTCCCTTGTGTCCACTAAGAATAGTCTATCTCCATCCTATTTCTAACTACTCCTCAGGTGTTTGAAGATAGTTCTTAGTCCCCCCACAATCTTCTCTTCTCCAGACTAAATAATTTGAGTTCTTTCAGCCTTTCTTTGTAAGTACATTGCCAGACCTATAATAATTTTTGTTGCTTTCCACTGGACTCTTTCCAGTTTGTCTGCATAGCTCTCGAAAAATAGTGACTAAAAGTTTTCCAGGTGAGGACTTACCAGTGCTGAAGAGTAAATGAATGCCTTCTCCTGACTTGCAAGAGGCTCTCCTCCTAATACAGCTCAGTATGCTATTGGCTTTTTTGCAACAATAACATATGGCTGACTCTCATATGCAGCTTGTTGTCCATTATAACCCTCAGGTCCTTTATCTGCAGGATTGTAGCCTTCCCTAATTTGTATTTGTGCATTTAATTGTTGAATTCTGAGTGCAGGACTTTGAATTTAATTAATTTCAGACCATTTTCCCACTTCATCTACATCATTCTGTATTCTAATCAGAATGTCTTATTCTTTGGTGCAAACCTGTCTAAAATATATATACATACAAGAAACAACAAACTGACGGTGGTTTAAACAGATCTTGGATAAAAATATCAGTTTTTCTCATTTTACTCATTTGGTAAATGTTCCTTTTACCGTAATGAATCAACTCAGCTAATCATGTGTTTTATTTTGAGGGGATTACAATGCTTTTGCTGGGACTAAGCCAGTGCCGATTGAACTGGAGATTACTTGAGTTTTGCCTATCACCCATGCTGCTTTAGTTTACTCTACAAAAACTTTTTCATGCCTGTACCTTGCTAGCTTGTTGTAACTGTGCAATCCTTTTGGTGCCCATCCCACTGTTCCCAGAATACCTCCTTGGAGAAATGATTTGTGGGAAATTGCAGAAGGCTGCCACAGGAGGAGTCTAGTAGAATTATGAGAGGAGGTTAAATTTCCATGAATTTCCCTGGAGCTCTTTGAAGTCATGGTTGGATTGACACCATCTCATAGAGTTTTAGCATAATGGACAGCAAGCTGAGTGCTCCAACTTCACTCCTTACTAGACAAGAAGCATTCCTTCTTTTCTCCTATCCTTACAATTCCAGTAATAAAAATCAAGACTTCACTGTTTTTTTTGTTCTGCTTTCCATGTAAATTTTATTGAAAACTGCCTGAAGTCACTCTATACTCTGAACCACAACATGACATCACGTGTTCAGGCATTTGCTGAGCTCTGTCTCTGTTTCTCTCATATCTTTCAGGGCCTTTTCTTGCTTTAGCTTGATCTGCCCTGTCAGTTGTAGGGTTCCTTTCTGCTCCTGTTTTCCTAGATATTTCCATCTTCTTTTGGTAACCTCAGTCGGCTTCTTTTGGTTCTTGGCAGCTATCAGTCTTTGCTGTTACTGCCCCTTTAGAACCTCGTGTTTATGCAATAGAATAGGAATAGCCAGTAACATAACTAAGGTGGAGTGACCAGGGCAGCAGCTCCAAGTACTGAAGCTGGAGGTTAAGGGGGGCAGAAAAACAGCAGTTGCCACCATAGTCACACCGTCACACCGGTGGCACTAGCAGCTGGAAGTTGTCACTGCTCCCTTGTGTCCTGCACAATAGAGGTTAGCGAATGCTCATGTAATTTATTCCTTCGGTTCTGTAACCCTAATGTACAGGGCTGTTACTTCAAGCTGTATTCAAAGAACAGTAGTCACTGTACATTTGCCACTTGCTCTTCCAAGATATCCTGACTGCCTGAATTCACCATGTTTCCATCCACTTAACTCTCCTTGCTTTGGATGGGAAGGGGCTGACCAAGTCTAGTAGGCCACTGTCCCCTTTGAACGTTGTGGATCACCCCATTTTATTTTGGAAAAGTAAATAAACATGACTGTAAAATTTAGGAAACCACAATTCCAAATACATTCCAGATGTCTCCGATCATGTTTTTTTTGCATTTTGTTTAGTTATTTCTTCAGAAGTAAGTGAGAAACATGTCGACTAGTCACAAAACTCTGGGTTGAGTAGTGACAGATAAAAGTATTTGCTACTAAATTATTCCAAGGAGGGTTGGAGCAACATGCTCTCTGTGTGTCTGATAATAACCCCTACTTTGGTTATTTTATTAACAAAGTAGTAGGAACTAGTGCCAAATGAACAGTGAACAACTGAATCTGCTCACCTCTTGGAATAATTCATTAGTAATCTTTCTCATTTGCGACACCAAACTCTACATGAGTTCTCAATAGTATCTCAATGGAGCTTCCTTATCCTTATACTTACACGCTCATGTCTTTTTCCAGGCCACAAACAAATATGCAGCACACCTCTCCTATTCTGGAGCCTATGCACATTGTACTTGTGTTGCTTCAGCCATGATGAAAATTGACCATTTATACTAGCTGCTTGTTCATGTTGCTGATGTCAGTTGTCCTCAGGGACATGCTAACATGCTATCTATGTTTATAAAGCAGGAAAAAGTGGAATTGTATCTTGGGAAATTGTAGGCTGGTCACCCTGACTTCAATACCTGGGAAATAACTAAAGCAAATTTATAAAACAACCAATTTGTAAACATCTGTAGGAGAAAGGGATGATCACTAGGAGTTAACATGGATTTGTTAAGAATAAATTATGCCAAACCAACTTGATTCCCTGCCCCTCCCACCCCCTTCTTTGATAAGGTAACTAATTTTATGGCTGAGGTGAATATAATTAGACTTAAGCAAGGCTTTTGATACAGTCCCATGTGACCTTCTCATAAGTGAATGGAAATGTGGGCAAAATGGATTTCATGTTAGAAGGATATATAATTGGTTGAATAACCACAAGCAAAAAGTAACTACACATGGACCAATGTCAGAGTGGCTGTATGTTTCAAGTTGGGTTCCAAAGGGGGTTTTTCTTGGCTTAGTGCTGTTAGCATTTTTATTAATATCTGGGATGCAGGGATAGAGAGTATACTGGGCATGATTGCAGGTGACACAAAAATGGAAGGATAGGATTGGAATTCAAAAGAATCTTGAAAATGCGGAGCACTGGGTTACAGACAACAAAATGAAATTCAGCAAAAGATAAAGGAATATGAGACACCCCAAGAAGGAAAACTTAGATGTGTACATCCAGGATTGGGGATAACTGGCTAGACAGTGGTATGGCTAAGAAGGGTTTTGGTTGATCACAACATCAACATGAGTCAGCGATATTATGCTATTGCAAAAGAAAGCAAATGTAATTTTGGTACATTAAAAGAGGTACTCTGTAAAATATGGAGGGAGATAGTACCACTTTACTCACCACTGCTTAGGTCTTAGCAGGAGTATTGTGAGCAGTATTGGTCACTGTATTTTAAGGATGTATGGAAAGTGGAAATGTTCCAGAATGAATCAAGAAAGGTAATAAAGGAATTGGAATAGAAGCTGTATGAAAAAAGGTTGAGAGAGCTAGGTATTTTCCATTGGGAGAAAAGGAAACTAAGCGGGGCAGGGAGGTGGAATGATACCAGTTTTCAAGCATGAAAAGCTGTTCATGGAATAGGGAAAAACTGCTCTCTCTAGTGGGCAGCATAGGAGGCACAGGGTTGCAACTGAAGCAAAGGAGGTTTAGTACACCTCAGGGAATTATGTTCAGAAAAATTCAATACTATGAATAATTACTTTTTTTTCTTACAATTAAACTAAATATAACAATATTTGAATGGTCTTTAGAAATATATGCAGGTACTTTGTATGGTTGGAGGGTGGGTGTGGAGGGGTGTGTGGGACTTGTGGAGGGGTGTGTGTGGTGGGGTTTGTGCGGGGTGTGGGTATGGGAGTATGTGAGGTTTGTAGGGGGTGTGGGTATGGGAGTGTATGGGGTTTATGGGTGGGCGTAGGGCCCCCTGCTACACAGCCCCCCCATGGTGCACAGACCACACTGCAGCAGTAGGCGCCAGGCCCTTGCAGCACTCATGGCTGTGGCAGGCAGAGCCCCTGGCAGTGCATGGCTCCAGCTGAGTCCCAGGAGCTGTACATGGTGGCACGCAGCTGCCCAATCCAGCCTGCTGGCACACACCTTCATACCAAACCAGACTGGCTCTGTGCCAGCACATGGGACTCGTGGCACTGCAGGCAGGGGCGATGCACCATCAGGCTGGGCAGGCTCCGCGTCTCCACATGCAGCTTCCAGCTGGAGTGCTGGAAGCCCCACATGGAGGCATGGAACCCCCCCCACCCAATGGCATGCAGACCAGGAGCCATGTGCCATCAGGCTGGGTGGGTTCCATGTCTCCATATGAGGCTTCCAACACTCCAGTGGGAGAGTGCACATGGAGGCATGGAGTTGCCTGCCATAGGGCTGGGCTGGCTCTGTGCCTCCACATGTGGTTTCCTGCTAGAGTTCTGGAAGCCCTATGTGGAGGCACGAAACTGGCTAACCCAGGCCAATGGCATGCAACCCACACCCACCAGCACACTCTCATGCCCCAACCCACAGGAAGGAGCTCCCTTTCCAATTACCAGGTGTCCAGTTGTGTGCCACTGCGCTCGGTGCCTCCACATGGGGCTCCCACCTGGAGTGCTGGGAGCCCTGTGGAGGTGGAGGCACAGAGCCTGCCAGGGTTAAATTATGCAAAATTATGCAATTATGTGCGGCTATGCCTTTTATACACAAAATTACATGGGCATATAATTCCCCAGGGTGTAGTTGAAATTAAATCTTAGGAAAAACTGTAAGGGCGATAGGACAATGGAACAAACTACAGAAAGTTATGGAATCTCCTTCATTGGAAGTTTTCAAGAAGAGGCTGGATAAGCATCTGTCTGGGACGTTTAGGCAATAACGCATCCTGTTTCTGATTTTCATTCTCCCAGCCATCTGATTTTTTGATGTTATGAAGACAACACAGAGATAAATGTAGTCACAGCAGGTCTAAATGAGGACTCTGCTGTTCACAGTGTTAGAGTTTTTCAGATAGCACGATGATAGAAGATTTTTTCAGTATAAGTACAGCCAATATGCTCTCTCGCTGCTTAATACTTCTTAACATTGTACTATTAACTTTTCTGTATCTCATTTCTTCCATATGTGTACTGGGGATAATACCTATTTCAGTAGATGCTGCTACATAGTAATCTCTTTACTGTTTTTGTTCAAACCTAAACTTTGGGATTCTGGGCTTAAATACATGTTGTATTTGTTCTAAATCCTCTGTACATGAATCACATAACATAGCTGATATGCTTTCCTACTCCTTTTGGTCTTCAGGTTCTTATGCAGGTGCAGTGGTGGCCATGCCATTGGCAGGAGTATTGGTACAGTATATAGGATGGTCATCAGTCTTTTATATTTATGGTGAGTTATATAGTGTAAAAATAAAACCCACCCAATTGGATTGATATTGTAAATACTGTGGTTTAAATCAACTTTATAAAATATTGATCAAAATAGTTCAGCTTTTGAAAAAAATAGTGTATTTTTCCTAGTAGGTTTGGACTGTTGTTGTAGCCATGATAGGCAAGGAAATGTATGAGAAGCAAGGTTTAGTGGTGATAGCTTTTATTGAACCAACTGTGTAGTTCAGAGAGATGTTGGACAAGTTTTTGGGTAGAAATTATCACAAAACCCTTTGTTTCTGATATCTATTTACTTGTTTTAAGCTTGCTCTTAATGTACTGAATATCCAATATGTATTAATAGAATATCATGGTAATCTGTTGCAAATGTTTTTACACTGTAATGATCTAACTGTACAATACAGGGTTAAATATTCGCTGCCCTTAGTCCATTTCAGAGGTGGAATCATTTGCACAGAGCTTGCCTCAGAATTTGCCATCAGGATCTGCTTGCTCTACTTGTTTCTATACCATACCTATTTTTGACAAGCAAATCCCAGGTAGAGTTAAATTTCTGCCTCCTTCTTTTCTCCAGGTAAATAATTGCAGCATGTCGATAAGATATTTAGATGCCCTATACAACTATAGGGCAATATAACTACACATCTGGTTTTTTTCCATGGTCACCTATACAGATTTTGTGTCAAAATTTGATTTGATTTTGGTTGTTCGATAAATGCTGATCTCTAGTATTAAATGTTTAAGCATTACCTATTAGATTTTGAAAATCATCTCTTTCTACCCCTACAGGAATGTTTGGGATTGTTTGGTACATGTTCTGGCTCTTGCATGCCTATGAAAGTCCTGCAGCACATCCAACTATAACTAATGAAGAAAGGACATACATAGAAACAAGTATAGGTGAAGGAGCCGGCTTAGTTAATGCAAGTGTAAGTAGAATTTGCCAGGGATGGAGAATATCTATACTTTGATGATCATTTATAGCAACTTTGCATAAGCTCAGTGATAGATGTATTATTTAGAACTTTGATGGACCTTTGGATCTCAGTGGGAGGATTTTTTTCTGTAAGGACTGCAGGAATTGGCCCATTCATTCAAATATGGAAACCTAATCCACTTGCACAATTTAGTGTCTTTTCAGCTCTAGGGTCCTAATCATACCTAAACTTAAGGAGACACATTATGATCTCACATGTAAGCAATCCTACTAACTTAACAAAAAAGGATGTCAGTGGAGCTATCTGGACCAGGGACTGACTCCAGAGGTTCCTTTTTCTGTCTATTAATGTCATAGAAGTTCTTTTTGCAGTCAGGAGTGCCCTCCTGCTCCATCCTCTTCTCCCTGAGACCCATTGCTGACACAGTCTAGACAAATCCTAAATATTCCAATTTTTAAAAATTGTATACCATTTTTAGTTTTGTTACTAGTAACACCCTGGAAGCCTAAGACCAAAATTCATACTGCAATCAAGCTGGCTCCCTCCATTTATAACAAAAGTTATTTCTTGATAACTTTTTTCTTCCTGGTTTCTGTGACTGAACAGTTGTAACAAACTAGCCCAAACTTGCTTTTGCATCTCAGGGATTTGGTTAAAAGTCATAGGCTAAATGCAGACATTCAAAAAGCCCACGGCAGAATCAGTCCAATCTATATGGGTATCTCTAAGCTGCATAGATTGGATCAAGAATGATGGGAACATATGTTTGCTTATGGTGGGGGGAGGCAAGTAGATACAAGCACTGGCTGGGAACAGAAGGTGGGGAGCACTGCCATACACCTCCCACAGTCCTGGAGATTGCCAAGGGCAGCCAAGCACATCCAAGTAGGGGCCATCCCTGATTGACTGCCAGCACCCCCCCCACCCTGAAACTCCTGCTGTCAGCTTCAGGGAGGGTGGGAAGCCAGCACAAAATCTCTTCCTAGCCCTGCCCTCCCCTGCTAGTGGTTGCCTGCCAGTGGTGGTGGTGGAGTGGGAGTGGAGGCCCCTACTGTGTGGATCTGCCCCCCCCCCCCCTGCAGCCAGAATAGCTGGGGGGAGGTTGGGGGGGCTGCACAGTGAGGGGTTCTATTCCCCATGCCTTCTCCCACCTGCCTGACCTCCTGACATCTTCAGGCAGGAGCCACAGCTTGGAGCCACATAACAGCCCTGTGCCAAGAACTGGGGGCAGGGGGTGGGGGAATGAGGGCCCCCAGCTTGCTGACTTGGGTATGGGCATGCCAGGCCAGGTCTGCGTGGCAGGGGCTCTGCTCCCACCCTGCCAGCACTAGTTCCTGGAGCGATGGACAGCTGTGTGGCTCTGAGCTGCAGCTCCTAGCTGCAGCTGTCAGGTGGATGGGCAGGGGGAGAGGAGTTGGGGAACGGAGTACCCCACCACATGGGCCCCCAGCCTACTGGCTCAGGTCTGGGGTGCCCAGGCTGGGTCCGCAAAGTGTGTGTGTGGGGGGGGGGGGCCTCAGTTC